ACTTTTACTGTCGTTCTCTGTACACCCAGTCAAAAAGGTTGTCACCAGACTACAGCAGCAGCCTTGTGATACCTGGTCTTCGACTTGAATTGCCGCCGCCAGCTTGACAAGGTCAAAATGCACGGATGGAACTGCCACCACCGCGTATATCTCCCATAAGGCGAGCTGGATGCGGTCTTGCGCCGTGAACTGTGACGGTTTTTGCTTGCAGAGACGCTACAGGGCCGTAGGAGGGGACAGCGTCTCCTGCCGCATCGTCAAACATGCAGCACCAGTCTTCAAGGATTTGCGCAATTGGAAGGCATTTTCCCGCGACTTGAAAAACTTCAGATCTTGTTTGACGAAGTAGGCGGCATAGTGCATGCTAAGTTTGCATAACACCCAAATGTCAGTAAGGCGAGGGTCTTCAAGTGCAAGTCGGACAAAGGAAGGTTGTGCTTGTATGGCTTCAAGAAACTCGTCGCCGTATTGCAAGTCGTCAAGGGTTGACTTGCAAAATTCGCTTCTCAGCGAAATACAATCTTCCTTGGAGATGTTGTCGACATGACGGGGGTTGACAAGACGCTTGGCTAATTTCTTGAAATTCGGCCTTAGTGTCTTAGTGCTAATCCCCAGAGTTTGGGATTAATAAATACCTTGCCGTTGTAGTCGGTTATTCCTTGGTCGACGTCCAGGGTGAGCAGCTCGTAGCGATTCGCCAGTGTCGGGACGCATTTGCAGAGTCAATCTTGGTAGTAACTTGAATTTCTTCAAGTTAGGGCTCTTCAGTCGGCACAGGAAAAAGTCGAGCCTTGATTTTCTTGTGCCAAGATGAGGGAGGGTCCTTGGACGTAGGAAGGGACATAGTCACCGCTGGCGCTTGTTGCTGCGGTGCGGGATGGCTGCCTTGGTTGGACTCTCGGGAATTTTGCGCCGCTTCCATTGAGACTGGGCGGCACAAGTCATTGAGTGCTGAGATCTTATGCACCACAAATGACGTCGGTTGATCGACAGCTGAACAAATCTCGCGAAGAGGTTCATCTTCCTTGTGATGAGACGAAAGGTAGCCAGACCCTTGCTTGGAGCTGAAAATGACCTTGAGCGTGTTGGAGTGCAAAGTTCCAGCCGGAAACGTGGGAAAGACCGAAACCAGAAAGCAACCGCGGTTTTCGAAAAAGTTGAAAGCGTCCAGAGGGGTGACGGCCATGGGCACGCGGTGGAGCTAAACCAAATAAAATTGCCCAACCAAGGACGGTGCGTGACTAAAGAGGTCATAAGCACAAATATTCACGACCAGGTTGCGCAAAAGTCTGCTCAATTCCAGGTTGTTGGTGAAAAAGCGCACTTCTTGCCACGCACCATGGCAAAGCCAAGCAAATGAAGTCTTTCCGCAAGCCAAGCTGGGTCAGAATACTCAAAAAGCGAGTACATGATGACCGCGAATGGAAAGGCTTGAGTAAGGCTTGCTGCTGGGATCCAGAATTCTTGAGAGTCTTCCTTGGCACAGGGGAAGTCGGAACAAGAACACGACGTTCTTGAGGCGGAGCTTGCAGCTCTTGAAAAATTAATTCTTCAGGAAAAGCGCTTGCGGCGCGTTGGAGGGTAGTGTACCATTCTCGTCGCCAGGTGTCGACATCCGGCGGTGGGATCTTCGTGGCAGAAGCAGCTCCCGCATAAGTGCGGCCAATGGCCGGTTTTTGCGGACGCAGGTCAGCGGGGTTGCAGACAGGTTGAGGGGGGCGGGAGTTTCCGGACGGTATTATGTTGAAGATGTATCCAATCCCAGTGAGGACGGAGGTAAGTTCAACAAAGCGCTGTCTGGAATATCCAACTGGGTAAGGACAGAAGGGGGTATAGCGGATGCGGCAAGAAATTCAGCAGAAAGAGCCGGCAGACCAGCATTTCCGACTTGACCGGCTTCTACGGGAACACCCATGTCATTGTCCATAGATAAATCTAGTGAACTTGACGGTGGGTGTGCCCGCAGACGTTTCGACGAAGCAGGCTCCGCGTTGTCGCAGGGAAGGTCTGACGAAGCAGTTTTCTGGGCAGCATGAGATTCTGGCCAGTTTTCTCGTTCTTGGAGCGAGCAAAGCCGACTCTACCAAGCTTCCTGACGGGCGATAGCAATGGAACCATGACCAGAGGATTCCGCAGGACCCTTCAATGCACTGGATATCAAGGAATCGCCTGAGGTGATAGCATCGACTGCCCCGGCCATTGCTGAGTTAACGACGAGCTCAAGCACACAGAGGAGGGCTGGGAGTCAAGCTGAGCCGCTAAAAGATCCAAGGGACCTGCACCAATAGAGGTCGCGCTTACGCCGGCGCCAACTCCAATGAGGGCATTGAGGCTCGTGGCAATGGCACATTGACCACTGCCTACTACTCTACCAGCGGTTTTTGGTGGTGAGATCAGACCGAACTTCAGCCGCGCAGGCAACAGCGACGACAGGTGGGATGGCGAGAGAATTGTTGTCGTTGACAGCGGTGCGGCTAGTATCGCGGGGGCTGTCGCGGGAAACAGTACGAGAGGAAGCAGTGGGCATAGCAGCACAGAAAAATCGAGTTGAGACGGGTGCACCTGTGCACCAGAAGGCAAATTCGAAAGTTCATGTGCACCTAGGTTGATCATTTATGGATAATACCGTAATACCATTTGGATAATAGTAATTACACTACGTATCATAACAACATGTTTAGCGTTTGTTTGACTATAGCAAGATCAATTTGAATCATGTCATGTGCTTAGACGTGGATAATATTGACATCGATTGGAAAATATTTTTGATATCATGAGGATAATTTTGACGTCCATTGTATTATTTTTCCAAAGTTATGGTCGAGTACCACAGGGGAAGAATTTCCGCCCTTCCCTGTACTGTAAGTATTAACTAGTTGTGAATGTACTAATAGTACTTTTGCCTTTGTCGCAACTGGTTGGTCGTGAGCACTCATCGACGTCGAAATTCCAAAATTTTGTCCAATAACAACGCAGTCTTCATCAGTTGAAGAGTTAAATGCAATATACTACTCCGTTCCACAAAAATTGTGAGGTACTTTTTCACTTGATTAAATTATGCACAGCTCCATTGACATGTCTTGATTTTTGTATTCAGCTTCAAAACAACCTAAACGCTGCAAAAATTTTATTGTATTTTTTTAGTGTCTCATTCAAGAG